CAAATCAATACCATCAATGTCTGTTTCGCTACTTGAATCGTCTTTAAGCTTCAGATATAAATCTTAACAAACTTAAAATATCATTAATTATACTTAAACCCATGTCAAAACAATTATTAACAAAATAATTGCAATTTGACATGCGATAGAACTGTTCGAATGCGTACAAGTACAAATTGAAAAGGAAGCTCTGTGGAAATTGCCTATTTTCGCCAGTCCTTTCAACTTCTGTCATAGAGCATGACTATGAGTACTTGGCTTTCAAGCGCCGCCGAATGGTTCAAATTGCCGACAGACGTTTCGCATTGCATTTTAATTCTGATAAATGCCAATAGTAACGATGTTAACGCTATATTATAAATAAAAATATAGTAATTGCGCGCGCCAATCGGAATTTTTCTCCATGCGAAAACATTTCATATACTATAAGAAAGGTGGGTATTATAACAATGACTTTAAATAGTACGTGACCGATTGCTCGATTTGCAGCCCCTGAACGTGCTGTCCGCGTGCTGTGCACGAATTGCACGCCCGCTTACAGCGGGCCTATATACATGTTAAAGAGTATAAATGTCATCGTCAGTAAACCGGCCTCTTAACCGTCGCCGGCAGTTCTCGCCCACAGCGACACTGAGATATTCAATGTCCAGTCATACAGGATAAGTGTGAATGGTCTAGTCTTCGATGATATAGAAAAATTGTCACGTAAGAAAGAATTCCACCGCTCACCTGTCGCTGGCCGTTGTCGGCATCAGCGACACTCTGAGATTTCAAATGTCCAATAACTTTAGTCTAAAATGTGTGTGTCTACCCCTCGATGTTGTGAGGAGGACGTCATGTCTTATTTAAACCCGCCTCTTACCCGTCGCCGGCCGTTCTCTGCCTTAGCGACACTCTGAGATTTCAAATGTCCTATCACTTTGGTCTAAAATGTGTGTGTCTACCCCTCGATGTTGTGAGGAGGACGTCATGTCTTATTTAAACCCGCCTCTTACCCGTCGCCGGCCGTTC